GATGCAATTCGTATTAAAGTTAAAATATATTTGGAAAAATTTCTCACATTTCCCGAAACCGCTTTGTCTGTGGCGGCTGAAAAGACAAAATTTAAGCTTCCCAAAATAGAATTAGTTAAATTTAGTGGGGAAGTCAAGGATTGGTTAAGTTTTTGGAGCCAATTTAGTCGAATCCATGATGATGAATGTATGAGTGATGAGGACAAATTTCAATATCTCATGCAATGCATGGTTGTCGGGAGTAGAGCAAGGGAAATCGTGGACAGTTATCCGCCGTCTGCTGATAATTATGCCAAAGTGGTCGAAAGTTTAAAAACGAGATTTGGGCGGGAAGAACTCCTCGTCGAATATTACGTAAGAGAATTATTAAATTTAGTGGTGAAAAATGTAATGAACACAAAAGTAAAGATGAACATAATGCAACTTTACGATAAATTGGAGTCATATCTGCCTTCACTGGAGTCTATCGGCGTAACAAAAGAGAAATACGCAGCAATGTTGTTTCCGCTTGTGGAATCATGTATTCCAGAGGATTTATTAAGAGTGTGGCTGAGAAATCCTGTAATTACTAAGGAAAATGATTCAAGTGATTCCTATGGCAATAAATTATCGCAGTTATTAACATTTTTGAGAGCCGAAGTCGAAGAACGTATTTCTATGGCGAAAACTGGTTTTAAAAATTATGACTCTTCGCATCGTAAAAGAGACAAAGATTTCGAAATATCAACTCCTAGTTTTACTGCAAACGATTTGCTCTCTGAGAATAGGCCAATAGCACCACATTTTAAACGCAACAGCATTTTTTGCGGGAAACAACATAATTCAGAAAATTGTTTTAAAGGAAAGAATTTATCATTAGATGAGAAACAGGAAATAATAAAGAAACAGAAGGCCTGTTTTTTACGTCTGAAGGTGGGACATCGCTCGAAACACTGCAGGGCTAATATTCGATGTATTGTTTGTAACAAAAGACATTGGCCTGTAATGTGCCCAGACTTGAGCCAAATAAATCAGACATCGGCAGTGGATACATCAGCTGAAGAAAATACTACTTTGTCGAATCAAAGTCAACCTGAAGTCTTATTGCAAACCCTTATGGTAGTTATTGAAGCCAATGGACAACGGAAAACTGTTAGATCACTATGTGATACAGGATCTCAACGGTCGTACATCCTGAAATCAACAATAAATGAAATGGGATGGAGGACCAACAAATATGAAACTTTAACACACGTAGTCTTTGGTGGAGCTAGTTCCAGAAAAGAACATAAAAAATACAAATTGTGGATAAGAATTATGAAGAAAAATAACAAGATCGAAATTCAAGTTTTAGACCAACAGGTAATCTGTGGCTATATTCCAAGTTTGAAAAATGGTCCTTGGTTAGCTGAATTACGAAGTAAAGGAATCCATATCTCTGATGTAGGTAAAGATTCTCAAAAAATCGAACTTTTGATAGGAGCGGATTATATTTGAAAACTATATACTGGTCAAACCATGCAATTAAAGTGCGGACTGGTAGCAATGGAAACGTATCTTGGTTGGACTGTAATGGGAAAACCAAACCATACTTATAGTTCCACTGGGCTTATCTCAACATCACTTTTCATTCAAAATACTTCGGTTACTGACTTATGGGAATTGGAAACAATTGGTATATCTGATAATTGCGAGACAATTACTTCAGAAGAATACGATGCTCTAGCAACGGAACACTTTTCTAGAACTGTCAAAATACACCCAGATGGTAGATATGAGATTAGTCTTCCATGGGTGAAAGATGTAAGCGATATGCTTTGTAACAGAGATATTGCGGGCAGAAGATTGAAAATGATGACAGCTAAACTTATCAAGGATAGTTATAATGCAGTTTTTAGAGAATGGATAAAAGAAGGTTTCATCGAAGAATCAAATGAAGGTACCGGCCATTATCTTCCTCATAGAGGAGTTTTCAAGTCCAATTCCACCACGAATGTCAGACCAGTTTTTGACGCTTCTTGTAAAACAAGAGATAACTTATCGTTAAATGACTACCTGATGAAACGACCAAACTTGTTAAAAATTATCCCTACCTTACTAATAAAATTTCGAGAAAAGAAAATTGGAGTTATATCAGATATAAGGAAGGCTTTTCTCCAGATATCCGTAAATGAAGACGATAGAAAATATTTAAAATTTCTGTGGTGGGACGATAAGGAAGCGAAAACAGTTAAAGTTTTTCAACACGCCAGAGTTGTCTTTGGTTTAAATTGCAGTCCCTTTTTACTGGGAGCTCTGTTATTCAACATCATTTGAACAAGTATGAATCCTTCAATGTTCAAGAGGTGGCTATGAAGCTGAAAAAATCCTTCTACGTCGACAATTGTGTCACGTCTGTAGATTCTGAACAACAGTTAAAAGAGTTCATTAAATGTTCGACAGACTTAATGGCTGTAGCAAAATTCGAACTGCGAGGTTGGGAGTTTACAGAGAAAGAAAACTTAACTGAAAAATTTGAACCGTCACCTGTGTTGGGTCTTCTGTGGGACAGATCAGAGGACGTATTGTTTTGTGACACTCGAACAATTATTGATCCTCCAGAAATTATCACCAGAAGAGTAATATTATCTTTTTCTAATCGAGTATTTGTTCCAATCGGATTTACTTGTCCAATTATGTTATATCCGAAGATTTTATTGCAAACAAGTTGGCAATCAAAATTAGGTTGGGATTCAAAAGTTTTTGAGGATATAAAAAAGAAATTTCTCAAATGGTTGGAAGATCTGACTATACTGCATACAGTGAAAATTCCCCGTCACGCTATTTTGAGAAATAGTGGCTTAAGTCTTCATGTATTTTGCGACGCTAGTGGTCTGTCCTATGCAGCTGTTGTTTACATTAGATGTGAGACAGAATATCAAACAACAGTACAATTGCTACTTGCTAAATCAAGAATAGCACCTTTAAAAAGAGTATCTATTCCTAGACTTGAACTTCTAAGCTGTTGCATTGGTACTCGTCTAGCAGATTTCGTTAAGAAAAGCTTAGAAATAGAAAATGTCAAGATTCATTATTGGTCCGATTCTACAACTGCTTTACAATGGATCCAGAAAGATGATCCATGGTGTTGGAAATTCCAATTAAAATCATTAATCTATCAGTTAATTTCATCTAGTGAGCGCGTGATAATCACGTGCTCAAGGCTAATCCGACTCCTCCCACACACACTGACACTCTGGTTCGAGAGAGAACTGTTTTAGAACTGCTATCCGAAGCATGTTTTTTTTGTTGTCTGTGTCCGTAAATATTTTGTGTCCATATGTTTGTGATTGTGAATAAAATTTAATATTGAATGTTTCACTCTCAACTGCCATTATTTATATGATTTATAGAAGTCTATGGATTAATACGAAATGTTCCCGGCCTTTTGGTGGAGGTAAGCTATCTCCTTTTTGATATCTTTTGGTAATACCCAAAACATGGAGTGTGTTTGTCAGAAATAGAGTAAAAGAAATCCGTGCTCTTTCATCAGGAAATTGGCGACACGTTCCCGGTCACTCTAATCCAGCCAATCTACCATCACGCGGCTGCTCGTTAACAAAATTATTGAGTTCAAGGTGGTGGGAAGGTCCCTCCTGGTTGAAATTACCTGAAAACACAAACAAACGCCCCTATCTGAATATATAATTGATGAACAAGTTATCAACAAGGAAAAAGAAAAAAGAACAACCATACTCGTAAGTAAAAATTTTCTTGGAACAAACCAGTTTTTTTTCTCATTTTTCAACCCAAGACAAATTTTATGATGGTTTTTCTTTGATGGACCAACATGAATATGATGGTAACCATCATGAATTTCCATCAAAAACCATCATATTTTATGATGGTACCAACAAGACTGACCATCACCTCATATTAGGAATTGGAACAAATTTATATTGGACCAACATGAACAAAACCACCATAGTATGATGGTATTTTCCGTTAGTCCAACAAATAAATCCATCAAGAACCAACATGGTTTGATGGTAGTTTTTGATAGCCCAACCTAAAAATTAATCAGGGACCAACATATGTTGTTGGTCTCAACTTATATTCCATCTTAATTCCTGATGGTACCAACAAGACTGACCATCACCTCATATTAGGAATTGGAACAAATTTATGTTGGGCCAACATAGACAAAACCAACATAGTTTGATGGTGTTTTTCAATGGTCCAACAAAAAATCCATTAAGAACCAACATAGTTTGATGGTATTTTTTGATGGTCCAACAAAAAAATTTATCAGGAACCAACATATTTTGATGGAATTTTTCAATGGTTCAACAAA